ACCAGAAGCTGTTAAGCCAGCCAGTACCAGAGGTTTAACACAGCTGGGAGACTCGCATTCTTACAAAGTGGAAAGACCTGTGAGCACCCAGGGTACCCAGCAGAGATCCCAGAGATGCCGTGCCCCAGCAGTAGGGCTGTAGGCCTTACCAACGAAGCTTGAAAACAAGCCTTGAATGAAACAAGCTGATTCACCAACAAAGTATCTGCCTCAGAACTTTTAAAGGAAGGGGGGAAAAAAAAATCCAAAATATTCAGAAACCAATAAAAATTTACTGTGTGTAAAGAAGCAGAAAAAAAAATATGACACAACTTGGAGAACAATTAGTCGATACAACAGATCCAGAAATGACAGGTAGTAGAATTAGCAGACAAGGACTTCTTAAAAGCTATTATAAAAAAGGATTTAAAAAGGATTTTAAAAAAACATTATAACGAACAAAGAAAAAGAAAATATAAGAACAACCCAAATGTTCTTCTAAAGGTGAAAAATAAACTATCTGAATTTTTAAGTTCTCTACATGGGTTTAACGGTAGTTTAGATACTTTTGAAGAAAATATCAGGGAATTTGGAAATGGAACAATTGAAACTAAACCATAAAGAGAAAGTAAATTGAAACAAAAATGAATACAGTCTCATTGACTATCAGATAATACTAATGGATTTTACAGAGCATAGTTGACATCTTAGGGATAAGGGGTCACAGAAATATACAGGGTGGGGAAAGTAGGTTGTGCATATGGGAAATAACACATTAATAAATAATAATAATACAATAATAAACTCAGTGTTTTGTGTACTCACAAGTGTAACACTACTTGTTCCTCACCCATATAAAGGAAAACTGGTAAAAAGTGGTATGAATTTGATAAATAGGCATACCCACAGATTCAAGACACTCAACAAATCTCAAGCAGGCTACTATAAGTAAAGCCCATATAATCAATCTGCAGAAAACCAATGATAAGAAAATCTTTAAAGCTGCCAGAGAAGAGAATACATTACCTACAGGGGAAAAAAGATAAGAAATGACTTTTCATTTGAAAATAGTGCAAGTCAGAAGACAATGGAAAGATAATTTTTTTTTTTTTTTAATCTCCTTTCACCTGCCCTCCACTGCTGCCGGCTTCTTGGAGATTTTTCTAGAAATGTTCCATGCACAAACATAGCAAATGCATTTTAAATTATTTTAACATAGACTTTAGAATGGTTAATAGGAATGTATCCTGCTTACAGACTCATAAAAGGTGTGCTGTGTTTATAGAGAAATGATGGTCTTTCCTAGGTAAAATAATCCTGAGAGCAGAGAGGGGCAATTAATTACTTTAACCCTAATCCTGTCTGCTTACACAGCCCTTAGCTTTCTCCTCTGGTCTCCTGAGTTCATAGCCCGAAGAAGGGAGTGTGACTGGTGTTAATTCCTTTGCTGAGGATAGGTGCCCTTAGAAATATGCAAAGTGGCACGTTGGCTTAAAAGGCAGCTGGACAAAGAATAAAGGAGACGGAATTTGGAATTAGGTCCAGTCTGGGCTTTGCAGCTTAGTTGTGTTTTAAAAGATAGAGAAATGGGGCCCCGGTTGTGAATAGCCTATCCAATTATTGATGGGATCCCTAATATGATACCACCCACCAGCAGCTAGGATGATAACACGTCAAAATAAGAAGCAAGAAGATATGAGGTAGCACTAGATGATAATCAAAAACCACAAATACAACTAGATTTTCTTAATGCCATCTACGTTTTAAAAAGTCAGGGTGGCAGATAAATGGGAGAGGACAATGTTTGTCTCTTCCTACATTGACCATCCTCATTCCATTGATCTCCCATAGGGCTGCACTAGCACAGCCAGCCTGTGCTCTTACAGTCTGCTCTTGCCCATTACCATACCCGTGTGTGTGTTCTTCCCCCTGCGGATGTGGCTGGGTATTAAGCTCCTCAGGCACAATGAATGCACCCAGAGCCAAGAGGGTCTGTACATTAATGAAGAAGTCTTGAGTGGCTAGTCAGCTGCATGAAAATACTGGAACCCACTTAATTTTCAGGAAAGATGTGTTACCTTCCTACTGTCAGAGCTTGGGACTATGGGAAGCTTACACTGCAGAAGCTCCTTTAATTATACATAGGTTCTTCCTTTGTTTTTTTTGAAGGTTCTAATTTGTAACTGCTGTATCAGAAGAAACATTTCAACACACTGTCTTATTGGAAGTTAACACCTCAACCATCACCTACTGGCTTTTATTTCTAACCCCTTTCATCTGAAACTTAATATTTTGAAATTTTATGTTTGAGATTCAAAGTCTTTGATAAAGTCATGTTATGAAATAATTCCAAAGGGGCAATGCTGGAGAAATTGTAGAGAAATGGATTTGAACTAGTGTGATATAAACCATAATAAAATGGAAATTTTATAGAAAATTTAAAAGAAAGAAATGGGGCCTTGGTCAGGTGGTGCAGTTGGTTGCAGCGTCATCCTGGACACCAAAAGGTTGTGGGTTTGATCCCTGGCCAGGACAAGACACCTTCTTAATAGGCCTACTTTGACTTCGACACTGAAAATATAGTCCCTCCCCCCACGTTCTGCCTCCCTTACCGAGATTGTTCATGTTCTCCATGCCATCTCACCTTGTAGAGTATGCTACATAATTCTATATTTGTGTGTTTGTCTCCTCCCCTAGACTGTAGCATGTTTTCTTCTTGGTTTGTTCACCAATGTATCTTTCACATCTAGAAAATGACTTGAATACAATAGCTGCTTAGGAAATTTTTATTGAATGAACAAGTGACAGTTGTTGTGTGTTAGGGTTCTCTAGAGAAATAAGGACCAGTGTATATGTAGAGAGAGAAATACTTATTGTTTTAGAAATCGGCTAGTGTGATTGTGGAGGCTTGGCTGGTCCAAAGTCTGCAGGGGAGGCCGGCGGGCTGGAAACCCAGGGAAGATTGTCCGTCAGAGAAAATCTACTGACAGGATTCCTTCCTATGGCTTTAAGGCAGTCTTTCTCTAGTGAGGCCTTGGACTGGTTGGACAAATGCACTCACGCTAGGACTGGTTGGACAGATGCACTCACGTTACAGAGGGTACTCACCTTTACTTAAAGTCCATCCATTTAAATGTAAATCTCATCCAAAAAATACCTTCACGAAACATCCAGAATAATGTTGAACCGAATATCTACCCTATTTCCCCGAAAATAAGACAGTGTCTTATTTTAATTTTTGCTCCCAAAGATGCGCTAGGTCTTATTTTCAGGGGATGTCTTATTTTTCCATGAAGAATACCGTACACATTTATTGCTAAATGAAAATAAAGGAAATTTATTACCTGTATACAGTACGGTAGTTGTCAACACAAACCAGATAAACTGTGAATCCTACAGTATCAAGAATTTACTCATTTATTCAATGACAATCATGTCATCTTCTGGAACATCATCATCACAATCCAATTCCTGAATTTCCTGGTGAATTTCTTGTGACTCCATTTCTTTCAGAATCAGTGGACCAAATCTCATGTTTAGCAACAGCATTCTGTGACAGAGGCTAGGGGGCCTTATTTTCGGGGGGGGTGGGGGTGCCTTATGTTTCACTCAGAAGGAAACCTGTAAGAAGGTCTTATTTTCAGAGGATGCTTATTTTCGGGGAAACACGGTAGGTGCTGTGTCCTTGTCAAGTTGACACATTAAATTAACTATTACAGTAGGATGTGGAGAAATGGGAACTGTTATACACTGATAAAATGTAAGAGGGTGAGTTGGTACATCACTTACTTTGGCAATATCTTATAAAGTGGAGTTTGTGCATGCCCTGCCACTGAGCAATTTCACTCCTAGTTACATAGAAACACTTATAAAAGGCCATACTTATCTAAGGGAAACACTTATATGAGGCCACAACTAAACATGTTCAATAATTTTTCTGAAGTGTTGCTCATGATAGGAAGAAAATGGAAATAAATCTAAATGTTTACTGGTGGAAAGTGGATCAATTCACTGTGGTATATTTTTAAATTGGAATGCTATACAACAGTTAAATGAAGTAAATGTACATATGCCAACATGGATTATTTTCTTAATTATGTTGAATTAATTTTTAAAAAGTAGTTACAAAAGGATATATATAGTTTGATAGCACTTAGATTTTAACAACTCAAAACCATAATGTTGGTTGCATTAAATTTTTACCAAGATTATTTTTGTTCTTTAAGATCCTCCTGTTTAATTATAAAAGAAACCCATTGAAGCATGGGCCTTTGTTCTCTGACAGCTTGTGTGGCAGGAACTAAAGATATGCATGAAGAGTTGGTCAACAGAAATTATTAATGTGACTGATATGAACCACATATGAACTTTTTTTAATATTTTAAAAATATATTTTATTGATTTTTTTACATAGAGAGGAAATTTTTAATGAGAGAGAATACATCAATTATCTGCCTCTTGCATACTCCCCACTGGGGATGTGCCTGCAACCAAGGTACATGCCCTTGACCAGAATCAACCCGGGATCCTTCAGTCCTCAGGCTGAAGCTCCGTCCACCGAGCCAAACTGGTCAGGGCCACACATGAACTTCTTTACATCCATGCCTATTTTGGTAACTTTTACTCATTTAGAACAGCTTCTAAAATGCGTAATTTGAACCTGTGATGAAACTTCAAAGTCGGGGATATTAACATTCAAAATGACAGATTGCATATATTTTCAGTTAAAGAATAGGCTGGATTTAAATAAAAACCACATTAAGTCATTATGACGTTCAGTTACATCTATTGATATTTTCTACTTAAATATTTCACTATGTTTTGTTAAACATTGATTAGGAGTGAAATAAGTTAAAATGGATGATCATCTTTTTTTCTGCTAACTTTCTTATCCATTCTTAAGTTTGGGGTAAATTTATTGCATTTGAGTTTAACCTTTAGTTTCTGCTTAATATTTAATAGTACTCTCACAGAAAATACGTTCTAATCAGCCTCCTGCATTGTTTTTATTTTCTTCCTAGCTGTCTGACGATGGTCGCTATGTCCTGTTATCAATAAGGGAGGGGTGTGACCCAGTGAACCGGCTCTGGTACTGTGACCTGCAGCAGGAATCCAACGGCATCACCGGTAAGTTACCTTTCCCCCACAGTGATTACTCCAGAATGCCTTTTAAAAGCAGTTGTCTTGTCTTCTATTAATTGATTTTCTAAGAAACCGTCTTCCATTTAACCACATTGTTTTAATTCATCTATCCCCCCCCCCCCAATATTATCCCATAAAATGAAGAAAAACTGGATGAACGTATTCGTCGGCTTCAGAGTTTTCTCTGTAGATTGAGGTTAGCCATATTTTTTTGCATATGAGTGTGGAAATATCCTGCGAGTACTGCAGATGGAGAGTGTTAAGGAGACGCTGGCCCTTTGGTCTGTAAAACAGTATAAGTGTCTGGACGTAATGTGGCAAACCAGCATAGGCAAGAGAGAGGGGACCAGTGACAATTAACCAGGGTAACAGATAATATTAGGACAGCTCCTCAGTACTGAGCCACATGCAAAATCTCAGCCTGATTTTCCTTCCTGAAGCTTTAGATGTCATGATATGAGCATAAAACCAGCCAGTCACAAATTTTGGAGACGGCTCATTTTAAATATTCTCTCCCAACATCTAAATCATACCAGTACCACTGTCAAGCATTAAAGCTTTTCAACTGCATGACTGAAAATTCTGTGCTGAAAATTCCCAGACCCAGAAATTGTGTCGGGTATGTTGGCACGCAGGTAAGATATCATACTAATTATACCATATTCTGGTTAATGTAAAATAAGCATATTTTAGAGATGGCGGCATAGATCTTTAAACTGTACAATATTGAGTGCACTTTTAGTTATTACCTCATTGGTCTATATTGTGTGTTACATTATAGTAAGATTACATAAATTCTTTATTATTGACTGGTCATTGCATCATTTTTAAATTTCTAAAGTAAGATTTGCATCCTAACATCCTTAGATACCACAGAATGCCATTCACACATAAGCAGGATGAAGTCAACAACTTTCATGCTAGTGTTAAATATACTTCCATTTAATAAAACTACGGTTTGTGGGGGGGTTTTTTTCTTTCTTTTTTTTTTTTTTTTTTTTTTTAAAGATCCATTTTAATTTCAAAAACATTGGCTCAACCACAGCAGTTTCACATTCTCTGACAGGAGCAGGCCACCACCCAAGAATTGTTCATTTGAGCTGCAAGAGCAGGTGTACATAGAACTGTGCAACCTCTGAATATAGAATCTGAAAGAAACAATAACAGCTGCTAAACTGTGCTGTTGTCCTGTGCAATATGCCCATGTGGCTGTAAGATAGCTCATAGGACTTTGCTTTCTCCAGTTCTTTATGAATGCCAATTACCGTGTTCTTTCACCATAGAATTCTGGTTTCATTCTCTACTTATTACTTCATTTTTATAGATTTAAATTGTTAGGTGGGCTTATTGTTAAACAATGTAAGTTAACTAATTAAGAAACAAATTGGCCCTGGCCAGGTGGCTCCGTTGGTTGCAGCAGCATTGTCCCTTACACCAAAGGTTGCGGGTTCAATCCCTGGTTGGGGCACGTGCAGGAGGCAACCTATCGATGTTTATCTCTCTCTGCCTTCCTCTCTCTAACATCAATTTCTTTAAAAAAGCGAACCTGAATTGGCCTTTATGTCACAGCATTTATGCAGTGTTTGGATGGTGCTGACATATTTGGCTTTTGTAAGCAAATATCAGCTTACTGTGTACTTTGTCTAGACTTTCATTAACTTGTCTCTCTCCTTTGTCCTTTGATGCTGAAGATTTGATTATTTTAGATTGATGAAATTTTCAGTGCTCCCCATGTCTTTATTTTCAAGCTTTCATGTCATCAATGAAAATTGTTTTTCTCCCGCATAAGAAATTAAGCTACCCACGAAGATGAAAGGAAGCTCAGTATTTGTCAGACACCTACATTGTGCATCCAGCCATCTCTGGCTAGTGCAAAGCAGATGACCTCCTGTTTTTAGGTAACTGAGACAACATTGACTCCAGGTTCAGGCCTGGCAGGACTGGGCATCTTAGGGGATTACAGCGGAAATGGAGAGAAAAACATTCGAGAACCTTTAAATGATTGATCCAAAGTTAGGCCAAGTCATCTGAGCATTAAAAGCCAGACCAACAGAGGAAGAGAACTTCTGTGATGGGCAGGAGTTATTAGAAAACACTGTGTGTGTCAGAGTGACTTTGCCAAAGGGGGAAAAAAAGAATGGGAACATCAAGAGTAGTATAAAAATATGAACTGTGAAGTAAAATAAGAATGATAAAATCAGTATTTTTGCTAATTTTAAAATTAGAAGGGCATTTTCTAGGAAAACAGCTGTGTGCCATGAGAGATGGAACTTAAACTTTAAAAGTTCACCATTAACAAATCATGCTGTTCAAAATCCACATTTAGCTTATTTGTCATTTGAAGAACAGGGATTATTTGGCAGAGTAGTAAGTATTGTTTATTTAGCATTTATGTGGGCCAGATTCTGGGTACAAATTTAGTTATTTCGTCTTCTCAGCAGCCTCTGAGGAGCACGTGCTGTCATTCCTAGGAAACAGGTTGGTAAAGCCAGTTAGCTCTCCTGATGCCCTTTAAAGATCCAGACCTATGTCAGCTGAACTCCCCAGGCGCTGTTCTAACCATAGTTAGAACAGTTGGCATTGATTTATCATCGTTACATGTCAGAACTATACTTTGTAAAGTATAAAAACACTTCTTAGCTCCTGTTCTTAGAGAGCTTGCAAACAGTTTCTATGAAACGTAGTGAATACCATTGATTTTTTTCAGAGAAAGCAGTGTAAGTAATGAGTTCGCTCTCAGGAAAGCATGAGATGGCTTACTTTAAGCTAATCATCACTCAACAGATCATTCTCCCACCCAGAAGCAGGTTTACAAAAAGTAATTTTAACTTGGATGTAGGGAAGTTTAGGAACTGAATTCTGTTGGCTTCGGTGTGAATAATGCCACTGACGGACAGGAACCTCAGAAAAGGGGAGCAGACAGGGAGATGGTTGGCTAGGATTACCAGTCTATTTTTAAAAGTAAATTTTCTGTTTTCCATTTAAATCAATAATGCTCTAAGGCATGCATAGCAAAACTGAATGAGCGCCATTCTTCAGCCAAAATGCCATTTCTTTAGAACTGTGTCAGGTCCAAAGCCCTGAGGAGCAAGGCCTTCAGAAAAGCAAGAGGATTTATCGAGCTCCCGTCTTAAACACGCTGCCCTGTGAGGCCTGTACTTCCCACTGCTTTTCAGGTTTACAGCTGGATTTGTGTAAATCCAGCCACTTTCCCTAATCTGCATAAACATAAGACTTACTGCATCTGTGTATGACCAAGGTTAATGCTTCAGAACGTGGGTGGCAGATAAGACCACAAACTTTGATTTTGTATGTGTGTTCAGTGGAGCGTGATTATTTAAAACGTGTGCCACATTTCCAGGCTCACCCAATTAAGTAGGTACTGGAGGAAGTCTTCACTGTGTTTGGCTTTTGGTGGATATTTCAGTGACTTTTTGCAGAGGTGGGTAGGGTCATAAGAAATACCACTGCAGGGACCCCGAGACCTTTTCAAGCAGAAATCATAAGATGGTTACTTTGAGGACTGAAGGGTTTACATTACAAAGTGTTTTATTGCCAGGGGAACACTTAAGGAATCTGACATTTCCATGAATCAAGATTCTGTCTCTATAAAAGTCGTAGTCCAAAAAATTATGTTGTAAGATTCTTATTATAAACTGGAGGCCCAATGTATGAAATTTTGTGCAAGAGTAGGCCCTCTTTCCCCCGGCTGTCAGCACCGGTGTCCCTCTGGCACCAGGTCCCGGGCTTCCCTTCTGCTGCTGGCAAGCACCCTGGACGCAGGCTTCCCTCACAGTCCCGGCTTCGTCAAAAGCTCATCTGGAAGGACGTCTAGTCTAATTAGCATATTACGCTTTTATTGTTATAAATCAACTAGAGGCCCAGTGCATGAATTTGTGCAGGGGTGGGTTCCAGGGCCTGATTAGGGTTGGGCTGGCTAGGCGGAGGGGCTGCAGGCGATTGGCTGGTGGAGGGGCAATTGGGGGTGGGGTCAGCCATGGGGAGGGGCTGTGGGCAGTGGACCAGCTGGCCTGCCCCTGAATTGGGTGGGGGGGGGCAGTTGGGGGTCAGCAGCCGGGGGAAAGGCCCTGTGAGGTTGGCAGGCTAGCCCCACTCACAATTGGGGGGGGGGGGGCGGGGAATCAGAGATGGAACTGGCTGGGGAGAGGGTCCATGGGCCAGTCAGAGTGGTGGGGGCTGGCCATGGGGAGGGGCTGTGGGCAGTGGACCAGCTGGCCCTGCCCCAAATGAAGTGAGAAGGGGGGCTAACTGTGGGCTAGCAGCCTGGGGGAGGGATCATGGGTGGTTGATCGGCCCTGCCCTTGATTGGAGTGGGGGGCTGATTGGGGATGGAGCTGGTTGGGGGGGGGGCATTGGGGTGGGGCCAGCCAGGGGGAGTGGCTGCAGGCAGTTGGCTGGCTGGCCCTGCCCCTGATCAGGGTTGGGGGGGCTGATCTGGTGGGGGCTGTTGGGAGCAGCTGCAGGAGGTTTGCCAGCCAGCCCCACTCCCTATTTGGGTGGGGAGTGATCAGGGGTGGGGCCAGCTTGGGGGAGGGTTGCAGGAGGTTGGTTGACCAGCCAGCCTCACCCCCTGATCTGGCCGGTTTGCTGGCTGCAATGGGCGTCATAGCGACTGGTTGTTCTGGTCATTACAGCATTCCGGTCACTGGCTTTTATATATATATATGTATATAATATTTCTGTTTATCTGCAAATTTTGCATTGGCGGCTAATTTTTTACTTATTCTTTTAAGAAATAGTTTTCAGGGTTGTTTTTTTCTTTTAAAAACCTATTTTATGTAAACTAAGATAGAGGTTGGTTACCATTGAGTGGTCACCTGTTTTTGAGGTTAGCCGTTTGAACTTGAATTGCAGAGCTTAACCTTTTATGAAAATTAATTGTATGGACTTCAGTTTGAGGGAGTTAGTCAGATTATATATTCTGAATAGCCTCTTAATTGAAGCAACTAAGATGCTGTAACAAC